GTCCTTGAACAGTAGAGAGGTAAAATCACCACCACCACCACCACCGCCACCTCCACCAGTGTCAAAGGCTAATGGTAACATCTTGAGCGTCGAACGCTTGTTAAGTGGATCGAATCCCACAACATCTTCACCAGATAAAAGGCAAGAAAGTCAGGCTTCTCCATCGTCAACGTCGTCTGCCTCCTCCGCTGCAATCTCCCCGAAACTGGCAAACTTACAACCACCGATACAAGCCTGCTTATCATCACCACCAGTGACAATGACGTCATCCTTTGACACGGCTTCAGTGCTCTTCAAGAATCTTCTGGCTGCGGCAACTTCAGGATCCCCACAACCGACACTGCCGCATAGAGGTTTCATTCCACCACCACCACTAACGTGGATGAAGCTACTCCACCGGACAGAAGGAGCTCCTGCCACCAACGGTGCGGCTCTCATGATGAATCGGCTATTTGGTGGTGGAGGAAGTAGTGGTTCAGGGTGGTGAGAAACTCTGACTCCGGATGACAAAGAGAAGAGGATAAATATTCCATGCGTGCATTTATGTAATGTACTTACCTCTTTCTCTCATATACTCAAAAATTATCAGTTTTAATGAAACAAGTGTATTCATAAGTCTGAAAAAATTTTAAAATAATGATCGTTTGTTATTTTTGCGGAGATAGAACATTAGAAAACGGCTTTTTTGCTGCGAGATAAAATTGAAAGGAAAGTTTAATTGAAGAGGGCTGAATGGTTTTAATGACAATAAGGTACGTCAAAGAACTCACAAATCTGGCCAAGTTGGAGTTATGGAATGAAATTTATGCACCTTAACACTGACGCAGAACTAGTCAAAACTGAGATCTATGATACCCGAAACTTGAGATTTCAAAATCTGTCTTTATGGAACAGTCAGCCCTTAAAATGCATCAAACCACCTCCCCTCCCGTTGATTTTTCCAATGGACGCAGAGTGCATAATTGTCGGATGCTAAAGCTGAGACAAGGTGGTGAGCATCTTTTAAAGGAAGGGTGGAGGAGGGATACAGGAAATAGGTTTGCTCCTCTCATGATACAGTAATTCTTGCCCGTCTTTGTATAACTATTGCTTTCGTTGCATTGATTGAGTAGTCCCAAGATGATTACTTTCTGAGTAACTTTGAGGCGTGTTGAGGCGCTTCTGGTGATTTGGATCTTGAATAGACTTGCGTAGCTGTTGGGCTATTTTGGTTTAAACGGCTGCTCTACTAATGTGAGATTTCAGTAACAAGTGTAAATTTAGATTCTTTGGTAAATACAAAGAAAACTGATATTAACAAGTCCTGGTAGTTATGGCACTTTATTACCCCATACTTGACGCATTTATGTGAGCTTTTTGTCTTTCATGCACGGTAAAATACATAACACAATTGGTATCCCTGTCGTACCCGTGCAACGGACAGCTGTGTGCATATGACGTCGTGGTATCCATTACAAGTCAATCTGCAGTGAACCGAGAGTGACAGGAGAGCAAAAGGGCAGTTTTAATCTGTTGTTGATAGATGAGTGACTCATTGGACAGCTCCTGCAAAATCCTTCATTGATGTTGGTGCCAAAGGAATCCTTCACAATTCACAAGGACCCACATTTAAAGCTCCCAAATTATTTTCCACCAAGAATCAATTTCTACCATTGGATCTTCTCAAACTGCTCTATAGATGCTGCTCAAGCTTGGGGTCCCGTTAGAATTTGTAAAGCAGACCTGATCAACTAGCCGCCGATATTCACTAAACAGTTCATCGTCGAAGATTTAAAATAAGTTGAGGAGATTAGGGGTACGCATTAGAAATGCGCCATACAGGCCTCCTAAAACATGTACGTGCCTTATAGTGAGCGTTTGGAAACAAGTGCATGTATTTCACAAGGGTCTGGGAGTTGTAACAAGCCAATACTACCGCAAAATATGCTAGAATTGCGTGAACATTTTAGTAATTCGATAAGATCTGAGTTATTTTATGCATTAACTGAGTCTATCCATGAAAAGCATAGTAATGAACGTGCACAATACCACACCAAAGGAGAGACATGGAAATCATGTTTGGGCAAAGGTGATTCCTAGTGTCTAATGCGAAACTCTTTCCTTTGCATTGCTTTATAAAATTAAATCTGTTTCTCCAAAGCAATTAATCATGAAGTGAAGTAAAGCGCTTAGTGGTATTGGACATTTTAAAGATTAATAAGGCTATGCTACTCGTTTGTGATTTCAGTAGCGAGAGGCAAAATTTGGATAAGTTGACAGACAGCGAGAATGATAGCATAGCCTAGAAATTAAGTCGCTCAAGTTAGCTATTTCAGCTTCGGTTCTTTGAGCTTCTGACCTTTAAATACACTACTTATCACGATACTTTTAGTACTACCGTAACTAAGAGTTGCCAGCTCGATTCCTGCACCCAAATCCACGAAATAACTACAGTGAAAAGAGTTGAGCTGAAGGATGAGGAAAGCGAAGAATACAAATAAGTGAGGTTTTGCGGATTGATATTGCTCCGTTATTGAGCAGGTCACAAAAAAGGCTTACATTGAAAGACCCAAAATTTTGAAGCTTCAATTCTTTAAAATGGCATAAAAACGCAGAAAAAAGACAATAGATGAAGTATGGGGGACTCGGGGTGTAGAGTGAAGTCGCTAAAGGATCTAAATAGTTAAGTATACAGGTTAAAGCATCAAAATTTTAGATAGTCTACTTTCTGCTGAGTCATTTTTGGAGTTTGCATAGTCCCTCGACCTAACCTACAACGTGGTCTTAGCAGATTTATAAAAATCCAAAAAGCGGGAACGACGAAGAGGGTAACTTGACTCACATCCATGCCCACCGAGTTCCTCCACGTTTCACCATGCAAATGAGCTGATTTGCACAGAAAATGAATGATAGTTTCGGTCATTTGATATCAAGTGTGACGAGTGAATATAAAGCCGGAAAGTAGATAACATTGCAAGATTACTCATGAATAATCGAAAAAAACCTAGGCTTTTTGACAATTTCATTTGACTTCAATCTTAGCAGAAGTATGAGATCACAAATAACCCTTACCGTATGACATCATTCCACGATGATTACAATGTACCATCAGTGGCTTATCTCGCAATTTCGACAATTTACTTGTGTTGATTAGTGGATCTCAATTCCTCCTAATTGTATCCTACCATAAAGATAATCGTAAATGCTCCTTTCAGATAAAACAATCCATGGACAAATGAATTGTAGTGTAATGCTTTAGGCGATTAACTAATCCAACGTCTTATTTTCAAGAGGGTTTTCGTGTTTTACTTTTATTTCTACTGAGGGATGCAACCATCTCAGCGTTGGATCAGTGACCTCGCCAGCCCATCCTTACGTCGCCAACGCATATTCTGTAGTGTCAAAGAACCACCTCGGTATCAGCGGAAAGTGGAGTCGATTTGAAGGGACCACTACCACGTCTCGCATTTTTATTAGCTAAGCCCTAGTGTGACGAAAGAGGGGCATGTATTGCGCATGAGGAAATCAGAAAAGACCTTTAAAAGGGAGTGAAGAGTCTTCCTTCCGCTGCGACAGTATTGCAAGAGTGCTACTAACAGCTGAAGCAGCACTAACAACTAGACCATTCGCAAACGCTTATTATGAAGTTGTCAGCCATAATTGCACAAAGATTGTTGTTGAGTCTTTGCCCTTGAGACTAGAACTAAGCTTTGCGTTCAGTGAAATTGTGAGGAAGATTCAGTGACGTAGCCAAATATTTCCTGTGCCACACGTCAATTGGCCTTTCAGCAACGACTACAATGTGGTGGTCAACAATAGGGGCCAATCAGATCAAGCACCAAAAGCCACATTCAAAAGATTTCAATCCGTGACACTGATTGTTCACTTATTCCAGTCTGGTTACGCAGGAACTCAGAGTTCGGCTTCCGAACTTTGGCTGAACGGCATGAACTTCAGGCAACGCTAGTAGCTCTTTCCAACCCTTATGGGTGTCGATGATACATATTCTCTACTAGCATAGCCTTCTTCCTTTGGGAAAGTCTTAGTGGATGTTATTGATGAGGTCATAGACACAAAATACTAGGGAATGCAATCTGTAGTTCCATTAGTCACTCAACTTAGCAAACATACCGTACCTCTGTGCGCACGGAACACTACTTCACCGCCTAAATTGTGTACGTCTTTTGGATATTTTCAGAAAACCATGGATACGAGCGATTTATTTTAATATTATTAGCTATAGGGAATTATCCAAGTTGCCAACAATAAAAAAAATGGAATCAGTGACCAAATCTGTCCACAGAAGGCAATGCCAAGTTTCCCACGCAAATCATAAGAAAACTTCCATAACTTATGTACACGGATACAAATTACGATTTCTGGGAGGTAATTTCACTAATGTTATACTTGGAAAAGGTTGAAAACTTTTCAAGGAAGCCCAAACACAGTACAGTACGGAGAACATCTATGCTGATAACCAAATCGGCTCCAGCGCAAACGGGTGACCAATCTGGCGCGACCTCCCGCATGATGTCAATCACCGCCATCAAGGCTTCCGCCTTGGACATTTTACCATAGTTCCGCGCTCGAAAATTGACCATGAAATGTTTTTTTGTATCTCCACTATCATCCTTTTTCACAAACCTGGCTCGCTGAAACGGCACTTTGGAGCAAAGGAGACACAATGGCCTTCCATCCTCAAAAGTGTCCTCACTGTTCCAAAAGATCTTCCAGGCTTTGCGCATCAAGATACGTAGATCGTCCCTGTCCGGTCGACAAGTGGCCAACACAGGCTGAAATCGGTATACATGTCTCGAGTTAGCCTCACGACTAGCCATCACGTGACGGAAGACTTCATAGACTAAGTCTGCTGAAGAGCTGTCTGCCGACTGATTTAACACGAAAGTACAATTTGAGACGCCTGTTTTGACACCATAAAATGTGTATTGACTGCTTGTGGAGTCCGACTTCATTTCCTTGATCAAGGCCGAAGCAATACTCAAGTCCTCATTGTCACTAACAGCAACTGCTTTATCTTCACTCCGACGAGTGCCGTTTAGACGTTCGTGCGCCTCATTGAGAAGCCTGTAAGCTTCTATCAAAGCCTGACGTTCCGCTTTGTTTACACATGTCAGAAGAATTCCCGTCATTCCAGGTTCTAAACGTTTAGTGGAAGGAGCACCCCCAATGGCACTGCGCGAGACCTCGAGGAGTCGTTGTTTGGCCCTTCTCTCCCCAGCAGCACAGCGACGGTAGAAGGCCTTGCGCTTTTTCTTGGATTTCGTGTCCATTTCTTCAATAAATACCACTTAAATAAAAATGACTGGGACGGATTATCGTGAAAATTTTTGGTGAGCCGAGAGAGATAAGGAATAAATAAACATATTAACAATAAGATTACTTTGGATAGGCATGAACAAGGCATGAGAGGTGGCGTCAATTTGGTCCAAAGGCTTTGCAGACCAATATTAGAGCAAAAAACGGGATGGAAGTATATCCCACAGCACCAGAGCATGGGCATACAAACATTGGAAGTACTGAAGTTGAGTAGTTAGCACTACCGTAGCCACAGAAACAGCAACATCACAAGGAGGAAAACGTTCCGGAAATCTAAATTATATTTAAGTGTGATGTATGGTATGATACATTAGATTGGTAAACCGGTAATAGTACAATAGAAAATGGGGTTTCAAGCCGAGAGAAAACTGTTCATGAAGGTGGTTCTGAATAGTCAACTGTCATTTTAACGTCGAACTTTCTTTCGTAGTTTTAGTGGTGTCGAATTGGAAGGGTAAAGTTCGTATCACCGGATTGCAACCTTACACAGAGGCGGTACTACCTCTGATTTCTTTAAGAATTTCCGCAGCACCAGAAGTATAGAGACGATCAGCGAGGCTCTCACCAAGTCGTCGGGCTCGAGCCATTCGAAGCCGCCCCACAGAACAGATTGGCGCCACCTGCACACCCAGAAAAACCGCATGCCCGTCTTCAGCGCAGGACTCCTCGCTCTGTGTCGAAAAATAGTATTTTACTTTCTAGGTCGTATAACATACTGCAATATCACCGTATTTAACCAGACGGATTCTTTAGACTTCGGATGCCATGCCGCTTTCAGAACGCACAATTATACCAGCCCCTCACCACGTACACATAGCAAGAAAAAGGCATCCAGGCTTCTGTATTCGGTACTGCACTAGTGGCAGTGCTAAGCTCATGAACTTCAAGAGGGAAAAAAACAGGTCACCATTAAACCATCACAAACCGCACAACGGTAGACGCAGGAACGTGACCTAAATAAAAGAAAGTGTTAATACCCCTTAAAGAATCGCTCAGCATTTTATGGTTTAAAGATCTGATGGAGCAGTAGATTTACGAAATGAGTCCGTCATGGAGAGCCCTCAAGCAGATTTATTCATGGTGCTATCTTCGAATATGCCATGATGTTGCTCACAAAGCATGTAAAGACCATTGGTGGCAGAAATGAAGGAACTACGGAGAATACAAATGTTGGTTGAAGTGGGGAAAAAATACAAAATCGAAAAAAACAAATTAAAATTTACTGAACATTTAATTATATATGTTCTGAAAAGATCATGGCTTCGATTACCACGCCAATGCGAAAACCAAATCAAGCAGCTTGTGGCCTAAGATTCGAAAGACAGAAACCTTGATGCACTACCGCAGCTTAAGGGTTTGCAGCGTTAGCCAAGGTCACCTAAATATTGGTGTTACGATTAAGATGCATGCGAGTGCATAAAAAGTTGGGATCTCAGACAAAAGAACAGGCATCCGCTTAAAATAGACGCATGTCGAATACCGATTCGAGAAATAGTTTATAAAAAGCTAAACCCACCTCTGAGATTTCATCGCTTAGGGTCGGACAATTGACTACCGATGACTTCACGCCCGCTTTCTGCAGTTTTGCACAATCCGATGGCATAGAGAATGGCAAATAAGTGGCCAACTTGCCTTCAACGCACTTCGTGCCATCCAGTGAAAGTACAGCTGCGTCAAGGCAGAGGAACTGGACTGGCCCAATCCCGTTGCCCCTGACGCCCGCCACTCCGCCAGGGCTGAGTTCGGTGCGCACAGCAATGGGTGTAGTGCAACCGCCCTCCAGACGACTCATGAAGGCTCTTTCTGCAATGCAGGCTAGAGCTGCGGGTTCGCAATGAATGCTGGAGAGAAGCGACTGAATGCTAGAATCTGCAAGCCGGCATTCACAGGCCAATGCACCTTGGCCTACTGCATAACGCTCCCAGTTGAGATGCTACAACATTTCACGCCAATTTTATCTAACTAATAGAGATGCAGTTTACTCACAAAGTATCGACAACGTCTTCGAAGTTACCAATGAACAGGGAGAAAAGAATAGAAATATTGAGAATATTGCAAGTATAGAACTTAAAAGTCACCAGGTCATAGGTATGCGATAAGGTTTCAACGCAATTGTCATTAGGGTTAAGGGGAAGGAGCGATAAAGTTGAAGCCGCTTTTCATAAGACTATTTTTACATCACGGGTGACCTACATGAACAATGATGGTGCGGCACAATTTTGACGCAACTGCAAATTACCACAAACCTAAAAGAATTCCCATCACGCCTTGAAAACACAAGCCCCAAGCAACAAAATTAGAACCAAACATTTGGCATAATGACAGTTGTAAAACAATGAAAGCCGATGATAATGCTCTATATAACACTAACACAGGGGAGTTGAATCTAAAGACCTGTTTAAAAACATTACTGCAAAAATGGAATGATTGTCACACCTCATCGATTCTCAACTTCCACCCGACTCGTAAAACCCCAGCTTCAGCCAATACGAGTGCATCGTACGTGGGTTTGGTGACTGAGTTGGAACACTCATTTAAATATTGACCATCAAGTTTTTGAAGGCGTGTGAATAAGTTTCCGCGCACGGAAAGAAAATTAAGGTGAGGAAACCTTCGCTTCAATACAGCGATGCGGCGAAGCGCACTGGTTCCGATGACGGAGTTCGGTGGAAGCTCAGACAACTTTTTGCCACGATTAGAAGGAGACATTAAAACGACATCAAAAGGTGGAGCCCTGGAGCAAATACAACCGAGAATAAGACCTTCAGGCAAAGTAGTAGGGACGTCTTTGAGTGAATGCACAACGAAGTCCACCGTACCATTCAACAATGCAAATTCAAGCTCCTTCGTGAAAAGGCTTTTGTCGCCGATCTTTGACAATTCTTTGTCGAGAATTTTGTCTCCAGTAGTTGAAATTTTCACGATTTCAAATTTGCATTGTGGATGGAGCTGCTTCAGTAGACTAAGCACGAAGTTGGTTTGTAGAAGAGCTAGCTGACTTTTCCGGGAGCCTACTCGAATGACCGGCGGATAGGCAAACGACATGACCTATCACCTAAGCAGGCGGGCAGACATTCAGCGGCGGGAAAAATACTTTGACCTTCATTAAGCTAACACACGTCCAATAACATCACTGATGAAAGCTATTTTACATGCATGCCAACGACACATCGAAATGACATGGAAGATCGAGGATAAGGTGGGCATCATTCAAGCGGCATTGCTTACTACGATGAATTAAGTGCTTACACTTAGTAATCTCGCTTACCATCCTAGATCATAAAAACGAATAAGCAACCCCATATAATCCAATTAGTACGCAAAAAGGGTGGTTAACCAACCCACACATTACCAAAGGTTGGCCCCCAATTTTTGACTGATTAGAGCAAGTCGTAAATATAGCAAGGTAAATTTTAAAATTGCGAAGTAGCTTTACAATGTACTTCGTACATCAGGATTATTCTATTTCACTTCTTCAACTTTACTGCTCCCAGCAAAAATATTTTACTAAGAGGGTTAATTTTAATTTCAAGCAATACCGTTTCTTCTGTACGGTTGTCATAAAAATTTTCAGTGCCGTAAAACAAAAGCGTCAGAGCCAATCAAATTTAGCCCTTCAAATCGTTAGCCTTAATTCGGCAGTTGCTACAAGATCGGGATATTGCGTGACCTGGGAGCGTTGCTTAAATGACCGCCGAAGTTGCTCAATCGGCTGAGGCGCAGCCAAATGTTCCTGAACGGAAGAAGTTTGACATTTTGAAGGTTATTGGTACGTATCGTCTTAGCTTACGAGTGACTCTGGCTTGACGACGCTTTGCCCATGATGATATCGAATAGTCCATGGCTTGCTGTCCTTGTTGTGTGTCACGAGCTATGATACAATGCAGGTTTCTCATTTGTATCGATTTATATGTAGTGTCTCTTGTAAGAGTAATTCTTTGGCTATGCCAATGATTCCTACAGCTTTTGTCGGATGATGCAGTAATGGCTACCTTGGTTGTGTTCATTTTTGCTTGTCATCGGTTGTCTGTTATGTTCTCCTATAAGTGGGGCTTTGGTGTACTTGCTGTCATGCTGAGGAGATCGCCTACCTGCAGTCGAGATATAACCGCCCATAATTGTTATTTGTGCAGTGGAAAACGTTACTGGTACCGTGAAATGGTTCAGTGTAAGGCGTCATTACGGCTTTATCCAACGTGACGACAACAAGGAAGACGTTTTTGTTCACCGGACGGCTATCACTGCCTCTCGATCTCGCTACCCCACCTTAAAAAATGGGGAATCTGTTGAGTTTTCTGTCGTTGAGACAGCTAGTGGTGTAAATGCAGCCTCGGTTACTGGTCCTAATGGCAGACAAGTTCAGGTGAGCTGTTGATTCCTTTGAAATGCTGACTGACTTGAATTTAGGGTTGGTACAGACTCCGTTATTATTCCCTAGTACCTATTTTGACTTTGTTATGAGCTAGAATAGCTTTTTTGAAACTAAACATGGTCTTTTCATTAAGGTAGGGATTAAGATGCAATATCATTCTGGCTTGTTATTCGCTTTACGTGAATAGCTAGTCATGCGAACAGATTGCTTTTGGTTCTGCTTTGATGGGGGGCGTCGGGATCTTTATATATTATTCCTCAGTCAAAAGGTACCTGAGCGTGACTTCCCTTTCTTACACTTTGTTAAGTTGTATAAGTAACGTTCTAGAATTCGAACCTTGGCGGCATTGATTAGCTGTCACTGTCCAGCATATGTACACCTCACTGGTGAACGCAATTTTTCGGGAATGATATGGTCCGATTTACTACTTCGTTAGAGCAAAATCTTACATAACGCCAATTAGAGCTTGGCGGTCCGTATTGATCTAGTTTCTGAATACAGTCGTTTTCAGTCATGCATATTTCATGTTTGATATCAGTTACAGAAGTACGATTTTTTGCATGAACTTCGTCCCCCGGTGGTCCCTTCTCTTTCTCCTGATGGTTTATGTAGTCCAAAATAAAATGTAGGTAAGGTCTAAGGGCGGTTATTTAAGTTAGTGGCGCAAGTGCGTGCATGCCGATACCTTCAGCACGTGTTTTGAGGTGTGCTACTCTGTCTTGTAACCAGCACGTAAATATCTGTTGTACTGTTGTGACATACATTACCGTAATGGTTCATTTTAACGAAACTGGGGTAATAAAAAGCTGCGGATTTGATATCGGTGCGGTTTCCGTCGCTGGCATTAGGCTAATACGGTTAGTTTTGTTTTTGTCGATTTGCAGGCGAATGGATGCTGTGTTAACTTTTAGACCTGCCCTGATAGACATTTCGTTTCTCATTCAAGGTCAAAGTATCACAGGTGTTCTCACTTCTTAAATGCCAAAATCTATTCGAGCGGACGGGTAATTTTGTCTTGGCGATGCAGGTTACTTTTTTGGTTCATTATGGCGTTCGGCTTTCACACATCGCCCGCTTACGAATAAGACAACCATTTAAAGTCGCAAATGATAATTGGGGATTCTTATCTCTCAATTGAATGTGTTTTTTTAGTACGTGCACGAGTGTAAGTTGTATCAATTTTCAGCCATCTATGATGTTTTTAGGGGGTCCGTTTCTTCCGTCGCCCGAAGCCGCTCGATGGCGGTGATGGTCAACCTAAGTTAAACGGTGCAACCCAAGCCGGTGGCGATGTTGAGGGAACACGCCAGCGGGGTGGCCCTCGTAGGATGAGACGCGGGCGAAGGCCTTTTCGACCAGTAAGTTTTTCGCTTTTCATACTTTGTTAATCATTTTCATCTGACGCATGTTTAGACGTTATAAGTGTCGCTGTACTGCCCGTTTTTTTTTCGATTTGATGATGAGGAGTCGAAAAGCCTTGCAGTATGTTCAATCAATAGGATGGTAAAAATCTTTCTGTTATAGGTAGGAGGTGTAATGTTGTTTTTCTTACAACTGAGGTTAACCTGAGTGCGATCGATTGGAAATGTCATCGTCTTTGGCCAACTTCTGTGCCATGCAGGCTGGTGTCTTTTATTTGAAGTTCTCGCTTGGCAATGTGTATCCATAGTTACTCTTTCCTGCTGTCTGTGCATACACGAGACTAGATTTGCGAGTTCGATTAGTTTTTAGCTGGTTATAAGATCATAGCAATGTGGAAATTACCATCTTATACGGAGTTCTGCCATCATGTCTGTCGTGGCTAGGATTCAAGGCCTCCATGACCGCGTCTATCTCTGCGATCTTACCGCGACGATTTATTGCTCCGGGTGGTGAGCTGTATTTCCACAGTGGGTTACTATCAAGGGGCTTTGTTTTCATTAACGGGTTTTGGGAACATTACTGCCTTCATTAACACTTGTGATGTTTTGCAAAGCATATCCGGATTATTTTTATAGTACGTTAATAAAATAATTGAACCTTTTTTAAATTCAATATTATGCCATAGCGCTTTCTGGCACTTCATAGGAATGAATATTTCTCGGTAGTTGTAAGCATCGATATTATTTTTGGATCCAGGTAGACGTGTTTTCTATCCTTCCATTGAACAGGAGGAATGTCTACGTAGACTGAGAAAAGAGCCGTTTTGACGTAAACAAATTAGGTAGCATCTATTGATTTATATAACGGATTCTGGTTCGCGTCCTCAGGAAATTCCAGAACCCAAGTAACCATTTCGATGGAAGGAAAATTTACGTTACACAAGATCTTGCCAACTTTTCTTTTCTCTGATTGGTCACTTCCGTGATTACGTCCAATACAAGTGCACATTACTGTCAGTTATTCGCTTCGCGGTGTGCTAGACGTACGTGTGCCTTTTGCACACCTTTTACACAACATAATCCGGTTAACGTAATTTTTGTCTGTTTGCCGTCAAACTGGGGTCACTACAGGCGTCGACACATAAGTTAATCTGAGCAGTGGCGAATTCAAAGTAGCTCCGATTAACAAATTCTCACCGCGTGTTTGTGGTTCACGCACTACCTGTTCTTCAAGTGCTCTATCGATGCAAAATGTACGACTTTGCATTTTCCAGAACCAAAATGCTATGGGGGATGGAGAGAATGTGGGAGGCGAGCAAGGCGAGGAGCTAGGTGGTGGCTTGGAGGGGTCCCGTGTACCCCGCCAGCGCCCTCGTCGTTTCCGAGGTGGAGGAAGAGGTCGAGGCTCCCAACGGTCAACTGGAACCAGACAGCAGATGAATGGAGAAGACGGAGCTGCTGTTAACGGTGAGGAGGGTGGCGTTTCACGTCAACAGCAGGGAGGGCCACGTCGTGGAGGCGGTGGCCGTTTCCGAAGGAGCGGTGGAAGCGGCAGAATGCGTCGCGGTGGTGGTGCCGCATCTGGTAGAGATAGCGAAGGTCAGGTGGAGAATTCTGCCACTGAGGAGCATACTGGTACATGGTTTACTCATGCTGACTTACGCAACTTAGTACATTTGCTTCTTATTGATTAGCACAAGCCACCTTTTAACTTGTCGACTGTCATCGATGGTCAAATAAATAGGAAAACTGTCTGAGAATTTCATTATAGGAGTCGGAGCCGAACACTCCCCTCAAGTATTTGTTTGGATTTTTGGTGGATTTTAAGGACAGGCCATTTCGGATTGCTTTTCATCTGTACCTCACTTCAAGGAGCCTTACTTAACTACCAAGCCGTCTTGCGGTGATCCAATGTTAAATTAGTGCATAAAAAGGGTAAATGTGTCCTATTTTAGAAGATTTAGAAAAAAAAGTGCAGGAAATGACATTGGAGACTAAGAACGAGGTATCGGAGAAACCAAAGGAGGCGGCAGCTGCAGAGCAGCAAACAGATATGGAAGGCAGTGCAGCAGTCGAAGGCGTTTCGACGACGATCACGGAGACCGCGGGGGCTAGTAACTAGGCCTCATCCTGGTCGCACGTCGTGTGTCCGTCCGTCGAATTAGCCAACTTCCCTCCACCAGACATCGTTTTTGTGCGTGTGTGCAGGGGCCTAGGTGTGGTTGCTGCCACAGCTGACTGTTCTCCCCTTTGCTACCACTGCGCTATCCTTCCCCGTCCTCCAACTGCCCCTCTTCCCCTAGTTGTCTGCCACTACATTTAAGCCGCTTTTTTATCGTCTTTTTTCTCACGAAAGGCAAAACTGCACTACTGTCACTACTAACACTACGACAATCTTCCGAAGGCACACGCGCACCACTCTTGTGTTCGCACTGCGTTAAGGTTCACCCAACTACCTTACACAACTTGCGTGATCACAGGACCACGCGATTGGTGCCATGCCATCCTACACGATCAAAAATAAGGATCCCCATATCTCGCTCCCATTGTTGAATTTTACACATGATCATAAACGCGCATGTATAAAAATTAACGGCTTTCTTTCGTCTGCTGTTGATTGGATGGCGCATCTCAAAAGTGTTAGTATTTCCAAGCCGTGGGATTGGTGGCTAGTGTACTGGTTAATTGGTATAGAGGTGGAGAATTGTCATTCTCTCCGTTGGGTGCACCTCGTCTCAGGCGCTTTAGTGTGGTCTGCACGTGTGGGTCATTTAGTCACCAATTCCGTCGTTATCTGGAAGTGGTTCGCGTGTTTATCACGTCTCCTTCTGATCTGTCATTGATGTTATGAGGGACCTACTAACTACGGTACTGTAACCGTCGGGAGGTAGTGTTGGTGAGGTGACGACTGGTTCGCAGTTGCACAGCTCTGGCCGTGGCTGATACGCGGTTGGATGGAGGGTCGGACAGGAGGGCTTAATCCGCGAGGACATTAAAATGTGACCTGAGGACTCCGTGAGACGTGCAGATGGCTTCTATCGCGCACATCACGTGTGAATTGGGTATGATTTTGGGACTCCTATTTGATGCAACTTGCTGGAAATGAGAAGTAGGTTTGAATTTTAATATGCAACACGATAAAAGGGATTGCATTGGACTCAACATCTTCTCAGCATTAATTGAATGAATGTCTCCCAGTCTGCGACGAATCGGACTTGATTTCGATAAATGTCTATCATTTTCCTTGTTTTGGACTGTAGTTGCATTCCAGTCCCATAGCAGCTGCCTAACACTGGCGTGGCGTCTTTCGTTAATGTAGTTTTCATTTCTGTTGATACGGTTACAGTGTCTTCCATGTCAGCATAGCAGGTTTCAGAGAAGTGAATTCTAGGTATGAAACAGTGGTTCAATTTTGTACACCTTGAGAACCTCTAACCTCCACGTGGAAATCCTGGAGGCCTTTATGGCAACTTGAAGAAGTATATATTTGAACTTCAATAAATTAACATATGTCGGTAAGATGCACCGGATCAAGTACTCACAATTTTGAAAGCTTACCTAAAGAAGGGAAGTTGCCATCTTGTACTTGTCGAATGTGATGATTTATCGCCTAAAAGATGTACAAACAGCATATACCTTCTGTTTACGATTGAGATATTTAAATAATAGAAAGAGTACTGGTTTCTCGGCTTCGATATCAGTTCTAGGAAATCATACGGACTTGATAAAATTGGTTAAATTTGAACCCATAGTCTGCTCTTGCCAATTATTTTAAACTGCTGAAAAAGAGCAAAGGACGCAACACCTTTTGTATGTAGGGTGGTTTAGGTCATATGCGATCGAAAACAGGTACATGGTTTGCCGGAATGTGCGATACTGCGTTCACGGGATAGCGTTTTTACGAACCTTAAATTGACCGTAGACCCACCTTGTTAATCAGAAACTGACTAAGAGACTTGACTTACAATTTGGCAGAAATAAAAGCCACCTATATGATCCAAACTAGATATGGGCTTCAGTGTGGGGTCTCCCAGCCTACCCTCATGTTCTTGAACCCTTGACTTCATGAGAAGATTGCTCGAAGAGGATTTATTAGCATCCCTTAAGACGTCGATCTGGCATTATCCGCGCATTTTTCAAGCACGGAATTCGTGGTCGAATTGATTAACCACCTCTCCTCCATAAGAACATCTTAAATACATTAATATATATATTACATTTAATGTAATTCGTTATTTGTTTGGCCATCTGCATTGGTTTTGATCAATTAGGTTGCCATATTGCCTCCGCTCTCTTAGATGGTCTCATGGCTCTGCTGAAAACTCAACCTCCTTCCAATCTGTCAAAAATATATGAGTTTAACTCAAGAATAGTGCCTTCAATGGTCTGAAAAGTTAGTATTGGTAGCAATTTTGACAAAGCTATGGATCCTAACTCCAAATTCCACCGTTTATAGCGGTGCTCGCGAAGTGCATATGCTGCGGGTGGCATAATCGCGTATTACCCCATAGAAGAATCTCTGAGAACAACGATATGTAACATTCAATTTCGAAGATTCCTCCGTTATATCCATGCAGACATCGATGATAGGACCGTGTAAAAAACCATCTTCTCTATTGACTCCGATTTACAATACATATTTTAACGTCCTGATCAGGACACAAATAATGGTTAGCTGAAGTCCAGCCTCTGCCCCCTATTTCAGTACAAACGAAACCCCATTTCCAGATGAAGATGTTAAAGGAAGTAAATGACACTGAAATCAAGTGCCTTGCCCCATTTCCACAGGGATTAAAGAATGCAAAGCCGGCTTTTTGGTGAAGTCTTTTAGCATCAATCACGTGATAGCTAATGTAGCATCTTGAGGCATCCCACTAGGTAGAAGAAGGCATTTAGTAAGGCTGAATACATGTGTTTAAGGAGAACATGGGAGAGGCAGTACTATGACTTGGTTTGAAGACCAGCCCACGCGCACAAGAGCAAGATACATATCGAAAGTGACCCCCATTTGTGCGGGTAGTCCACCGAACAAGGTAGTGCAACTGACGAGCGAAGTTTATGGAGAGGGGATCCATGAAATTCACTCAAGAGAACAGAACGGCGTTGCAGTGCGCTGTTTATAGTCGCTGTCGCCACTGTAGCTGATGGTCTCAGCTTGAGCTTCCTTTTCCTAGGACCTTCAGAAGAGGCTTTGCTTGGTACCGGCTTATTTAGCATTACTAAGGTTTACATCAAGTAGGGAAGTGTATGGAAGGCCAGATTCGCGTTCTGAGAGGGGATGTCTCCCCAGCAGGCACTCGGAACACGGCGTTCGGATTCAAACTCCCACCTCCCACATGAATAATTCAATTATGCACAATACGTAATACACTGCTACCCTCTTTGAAATATTGGTCCCAGTGCCATATTTCCTCTGAGGGGTTGAGTGGCCACCGGGCCACGTCAATGACCCAATTTACTTCGCTTTCGCCTAAAACATATGTACGTGTAGCGATCCGAGACTTCACACCGGATAGAAGAAGGCAGTAAGTGAGGCTGAATAAATGTGTTCCAAAGAGATCAAAGAGACTAAGGCTGAGGACGACCCCAAGTTAAGCTCACGCGTACAAGAGAGGCGGGAGTCCTAAAGCAACCGCCAAACGGCCGGTAGTCACATAAACAAAGCATTAAAATTGTATCATATACTAGTGCGTTTAAGTTTGCCTTTAGGAGGAAGAGGCAGTAAAGGAAGTAGAACACGAATATTAGTTTGTCAGGACTGCGAAGATAATTTCTCAAGGTGGCATCGGCTTTCCACCTCACCAATTCTCTTCCTTTTCCTATCCTTCTGTACATAGTGCCTAATAAAGCTCCCTCAGCTAACCATCTCCCAGAGTCCGAGGTTCAGGGGCCTGACAGCAGGCAGACTCCACACTACCAGATCCATTAGCCACTCCATAGTCATCGGGACGATAAACTAAAAGTGAGGTACTATAAATTAGCAGAGTGTAAACTAACGATCAAAAAATCAGGAAAGACTATGGTTATACAAAGTAAAGTGTATATATCAGATCATTGTCAAAATGATTCCCCAAATAAGTGGTTCGTTTACGTATTGTTCCCATAGAAGTGGCATAAGATCGTTTGATTTTTTATTTGTTTTGAATCTTACATCTTTTAATATGAAATTCAGGTTTTTTCTTTAACACGGTTTGCATCTGTCCAACATATTGCCATTAAAATTTGATTTTCCTTACTCAGCATAAATTAAAAATATCACTATAGCCTTAAGGACATTTTTTTTATTTATTGCTATTCGCATAAGATTGCACAATTATATTCCGTATTATGAAAGAAACACCATGCTTACGACAGCATGGCCTGATCTGAACAAATATTATTTTACCAATTGGCTTGTCAGGAGCGTCGATTTTTGAGAGCCATATTGAAAATTGAAGCGATTTCTGACCCAGAGGCTTTTTTGCCACTGTTTGTCCACCTCCCTTGACCATCTCAATGAGGCTTAGACATTTTGTTTAAAAATTGAAATCAAATCAGTTCTACAATTATATAACTGGGATTCCACTATGGACACTACAACCGAATTTCTTACTGCTTTCTTCTCCCAGAAATTTTCGTCCTTTGAAGAATTTCATAGCCAATTAAAGGAGTTCGAAAAGGTAGGACTTCTCTCCTGGTACTTACATATCAGTTGACTGGATCCATATATATTATACAAAGTTCAAAGTTTCTTCCCCAAGACCATCCTGACCGAGGAAGGTTGGTGTACAGTGCTCTTCAATACTCCTGTTACCACTATGGTGTGTGTCAAAGTGTAGTAACTCCCCGAAGAAATCAAAGGTACGAATCGGTGTTATTATGATACCTTAGAAATTCTCGAGGGTCTTGCGGATCGAGAATTAGTCTCTCTGCTATGAACGGTAAATTGTGGATCACAAAATATCATATGATTCACAACCACTCACCTCTGCCTGAAACTATTAAAATCGACCAAAGTGTTCGTAGACTTCAAGTTCAGGAATCGGGCAAAGATGAGCTGGTTATTAGTGATGGTATAGTGACTGTCACATTTTCTAAGCTTTCCACTATAGATGTACAGGTCGTATTGGACGACATTGTTGATCAACTCCCAAAACATAGTGTATCCCTTGACTCAAGCAGAGGTGAGAGGTCTTCTGATTGTCATCCATGGATAGGTTCGCCAGGGAAGGCGCAATCAAGACCAATGCAGGAACGCAAGGCCGCTGCGAGGGATCGTTTGGCTGCGAGAACTAAAAAAGCTCGTGGTTTGAAGTTGGCTCCTTGTCTTCGTCGGTTGGCTGAATTAGCAGCTGCTGGTTCTGGTCCTGATTTCCACAAACATCTCGGTGAGCTGGAAGCCCTTGTTGAAATTTGGAAGCATGGGGGTATATCATCACTAGCTTCTGGAAGTTCAAGCGGTGTCTATGCTGGTGGCAACTCCGTGACTCCTTCGCAAACTGATTCTATTGCAATTGCCAGGGCAGTCGAAAGTCTTTTTCGGAAACAGAAGGCTATGGATAATTCCACTGGCGCTGTTACCGGAACAACAGTGAAGTTACCCGGTCGTTCCCCAAAAGCTGCTCAAATAGTCACTCCGGTTGTCACTGGAAGTACTGTCTCGGTTATTCAGACTTCACCACAACCAGTTGTGCTAAAGCAAGCTCTTGGTTCCCAACCTGGTGCCTTTGTCAACAGTTCAAACGTTGTCACCCTTCCCTCCACAGCAGTTGCAACTCTCCCAAAGGATGTTGTAATAGCAGATGCTGGAAATGGACAGTTGCAGTTAATCAATAGTGCCTCCATCATCACGACAACTGGTCAAAAAGGGGACAATGGAGTGGCTGAAGGACAGCCAATTTTAGGCTATGTAATTCAGCCCATGACTTCGCTATCTGGTGGTCAAACGATTATCCCAACTGCGGCCATGGTTACGCCTACGAATTTTGTGCCCATCGCACCTAAGCTTCCAGTCAGCGACTCGCCGATGCAGTCATTTCAACCCATTCCTCCTCCTCCGCCCAAGGTTGTGCGGCCGCCAATGCCGATTTGTAAACCAAAGGTCATGAAACCTCGAGGCAGACAGCCGAAGTTAAAATCGGGTTTGGGCGAGGGTCTGTTGACGGTGCCTGAAGGACCAGCGGTGACACGGTTTGTGGACAACGGTCAGCCGAAGCCTTGGACACCGATGATTATGGAGAGTGAATCTTGCTCCTATTTCCTGTTTGTTGAGGATGCAAATTATTACTATTCACCGGAGGAAGATGCTTGGCTACCCTTTGACCACCGAACCATGGCAGTGGACGCATGAAAATGAGGACGCAACTAAAATCCTGTACAGAGGTCACTTCTAGTTTCAGATGTTTTACCCTACGTGTACCTTAACTCTTTATGATATAACGCCAACTTGAATATAATACCTACTACTGTTATAATAAGTAATGTACATTCTTAACCTACCCTTAACTTTACGTTTTTTCTTGCGTTCGGTTTTCATGGATAATCACGCGCTACTTTCGATAAAAATGTCGCTTAGTCTAATTAAATCTAAAATGAAATTATCTTTCTCTCCTTTGTGTTATGGAGTTGTGAATGACTTTTTGGCGCAGAAGTAATACACATTGCTGGTACGGTGTTTGTATACAACCCACAAAATCCTCACTGGGGTGGAGATGGCGTTGGATTGTCGGGCAGATGATAGCTTACTGAAGTGAGTTAGGTAACATGAACCAATGAGTAGAATCAGGGTCCTTGAAAAGCAGGACAGTCTCCTTTTGGTGATTACCTTTTTTTGTTGACTGCTAAGGGCAGATGGGTTCAGAAGTGTTTAATTCTGCTCAAGAGCTGTTTTCTCCTGGTGCTGGTTCTAGCAGGGGATATTTCCTGGGAATTTGTGTGGGGAAAAACACCATACTGAGGGCACGCAGGAGACACTAAGAGGGCACCAATTCCAACGCTTGAAATAGTTTATTCAGTCAAGTAGATTTTTTAGTAATGACGTTACAGTTCATTTTGATATACAAAAATAAATTGCTCAAATGAGAGGTTGGCACAACCATTTGATAGACTTTAATACGTACGAAGGGATGCGGTGAAGGAAACGGTACACTGAAAAATTAGTAGCTGTCAAGTTGCAGCAAGTTCTATGATTTTTGACTAACTCGAGCATTCTGCTTATCTGTTAAATTCAGCCTCTTGGTGTGAACCGCTCTTCACGCCTCATATGAATGTCAATCTTTCATAGTTGACCTCACTTCTCAAAAGAGTTACATGCTCTCGAATGCATGATGGGTTTGGTGGAGGTCTTGGCAAGCTGTCTGCTAAAGTAAGAACTGTCCAGGGCTTATTGACGAGTTAGCAGTACTTGCGTTCACCAATCTGGTCAAGTGGCATAGCGTGAATAGTCGTCGTTGTCAAAATTACCTATCAACCAACACTGACGCAAAATGCTAGGAGAGTAGAAGCTGATTTGTTTGGATGCTCAATAGCTTGCAATAATATGACAATTTATTAAATTTTTCGCTTTGATTTGTTAGGTAATTGAGACTGTCCTTTTACGTCTACTAAACAAAATGACATCTGGACAGTAGCAGTAGAAGCCTCTCAGTTTTCTGTGCATGCAGGCCATGTCTTCTTCCCCTTCACAAAATTGTAATGAGTGGAGGAAAGTAAACCTATTCCTTAGGGTCGCCCACCAAGAAATATATTGTTAGATAGTTGTATATTAACTTGCGGGTAGAAGGCTCTAGGACGCGGATGGGTGACTCTGTGAGTGCGTATAATGGGAGAGTTGAAAATAAAATTTACATTCGCCTAATACGTCATAACTGTATTCTTGAACAGGGATGCTATTAACAACTGAAATAATGTTAACCTCAAACTGCTTTAAATGTTAGATGTAGAGCCATGCGCAGTACATCAATGAAGACGTTAATTGAACGAACACGAGACACTTTGTCCATCACCTCTGAACCAACCGGATAGAACCCAGAGAGGAAGCTGAGTAGAGGAGTGAACTCAAAACCTCATATATATTTGCGAATTTATTTTACTTCTCTTCCAACTTAATTATTCACACTTAAGTTGTTTGCTATATCGACTAACAATGATAATTCGAGATGGACTACGCATTCGTTTACCTCCAATATAACTTCCCACCAGGTTAACAAGCCCGATTCGGTAGGGTTCCTAAGACGAACTTTAAGTTATGTTATATTTCAGGCTTCACGCAATTTCAAGAGGACGTATAGTTAATTCGTGGGTGGTATTCTTGCATCACAACTATCTTGTATCGGCTTACGCTGGAGGTCAAGTGAGAGGAAAGTCTAGGCAGCGTCTTAAAGAGAGATACTGGGCCAATATTCTTATAACAATAATTAGTCCAATAAGGCTTACAAATCAGGTACATGCAAATAACTTAAAAGAGAACCACATCTGAACTTTTAATTGTTGGACAGAAGTTCCAAAAATAATGAAGCAGGGAAGCCGCTGATGTACACTTGCCTAGCAAAATTTCATTACAATCAGACTAATGCGGTTGATTCCATTTTCCGTGGGCTGATGGTGCGGACCAGGGATACAGGAGAGCTTCTCCCTTAACCAGCATATTTGAAATATTGAATCCCATTTAGCGCTCATAAACACTGGTCCTCTGTAAAAATTTTGCAACAAAGGGGATCACTTATGGCAAATCTGATCTTCAGTCTCGTGTCCATTATCATCGCCATTCCCCGTAACCTCGTGCCCAAAATATGCTCTCTATGTGTGTTGCGTATCGAACGGGGCATTGATTGCCTAATGATAATTTACTGTTTGGCCAGAGAATACAAAAATTTTCCCTCTGTACTTGAAAATGAGCGTTCAATCAAGAGTGTAACAGCTTTTATTAGAACCACTTATTATCCGGCTACTTAAAGGTAATTAGTAGTTGCGTAAAGCGATAGGCATCATCAGCAGTTGGCTCATCAAAATAGCAAAGTTGAAGGATAGCAATGCCATGGTGCAGCTCAGGATAAAGTATGGCATTGCATTGCTGGGAAAAATTGAAACACGCACTGATCTTTTAAAAATACAAGGCATTATACGAAATATACCACCATGCGATTTCTATTCAGTGCTATCTTAAGAATCAGAAAATCAAACTTAAATTAATATAATGCTAGCAGATAGGATCTTGCTGAAGCCAAAATGAAATAATAATAGGGCGGGAAAATGTGCATTAGCGAAGTACATAAGATGTGCAGCTGTAGGTGTGTTTCGTCGAATATGCTAATCCTCGATGGTACAATATCTAACGTATAGAGGACTTGAAAGAGCAAATTAAAATATCACCGCGCTTGGAAGAAAGTAAGACATTAAAGCTGCTTATAGGCAGAGTAAATGCTTTAGGCGACTCGCGATCTGCTCCAAATAAGTGAACTATTCTCCTCAATGATAAAAATGGCATAATAGCGAAATCGTGCCGAGGGACACATAATGGACCAACCAAACGTCTTGAAAACCATTTAAAGGACATTTTGATGCAAAGCTAATAGAGGATGATCTGAATATCTTTTAAGTAAAGTAACTTTGTTACGATAACAAACACTGAAGCTTACAGCATGAAATTCGTTCCCTGCAAGGCTCAAACGTTTGCGAAACAAATGGACTTTAAAGAAAACAATCATGTCCCTTCTTCTTTTTTAACTTTATCTTCAAACGACCCATTTTTAAGTTACTGGTCTAACTCTGATGCCAAAAAGGCCACAAGCAACATACAAAAACATCATTGGAGGCAAATAGTGCGGGAGGGGAGGAAAGAGCTGGAAAAGAAGCGCAAATTCTTGTGACAAAGTAACTTGCCACGGACGTTTGCAACGTTTGGAAAAGTATGATCTGCAGATTAGGTAAGCAAAAGCATGCAAATGTTCAATGTGATCTTTCTGAAACCACATCAGTCTGTTAGAAGCAAGCAGTATGGTAAATGGACACATTTTTTGGTAGTTATCTTGGAAGTAAATCAGGACCTCACTGGCTGTACAACCGCAAATATATCGGTGAAGAATGGAGCTGACGAGTCCCATGCACTGGTGAGATCGCCATTGTGCTTCATGTCTTCTTCCCATTAAGGAGTAAATGTGTGACATTACGGAGGCAAAAAGCATTACCAGTCCACAATGAATTAAGTTGAACGTGGATAGGAGGCGCGCAGTAGGCATGTAGTAAACACTAGCGATTGAGAAACCATGAGGAGTCTCTACCAAGTTAGCTGTTTGCCCCACTTCCCAATCTGGAAATCACTACACAATCAGCGACGCATATTTTAACTTCCATTGAAATTGGTGGGTCTTCTCGAGTGCCTTTGGACCTTTAGTGAGTTGACACTAGGACAACCCTTTCAAATTTCCAAAAAACCCCCTTGCATTGATGCATCATATTCAATTGTAACCTTAATTGGTTGAAGCACTTAAGATGGCAATGAATACGCATTATATTTAAATTCTCGTATGTAGTCAACTTCGTGCAGCTCTCTTATGAACACAAATGTCAAAGGATAAACTCACTACCTGCTCACGATTCTCGCACTATCATGGGATTGAAGGTATCTATTAGCCCGCTTGATGGTCACAAATTTGCACCTGATTAAGAAGGTATGAAGCACAGTGGCGATCTATTTTACGTTGATATTTGCCATTGTACAGGCAGTGAGGCTCTGATACACCCAAGAATGAGAAGGGCTGCGTCCACTTCTGACCCGACTGCTTAGTCCAGAACGATCTAGACAAAGTTTGTTATGGTGGGAGGTAAAAGGAGCGGCTTAAGTTCCCATCGAACGCAAGTGTCCTCATTTGGCTTAAAGTTTAAAGGAACTTCTGGTAGTCAAAAAAATTAATGCAAGTAATATTTTATTGCAGGTTGAAAGTATTTCGAAGCACTTGTGAAATTGGTTTGAGTGAAATGAATTAAAAAGTTTAATGGTTTTAAGCTGAAATAACTCAAATCTTTGGCCAGTAAGGTGCCATAAACTATGGCTCATTCTATTGTTATATTTCGATTGTTTTATAAACTCTCGATTTAGCCTTTTGAATAATCCAGTAGGTGCTTCAACAATGCACATTTCGCCAGAAAGGCAAACCTCCTTTGTGTGCATGAATGACTCAGCGAAAATTATATATGAGCCTTAGAGATTCAACTTTCCTTTCCGAGTGTGAAACCGTAGTGCTGTGAATGCGAAACCAATGCTACAAGGTGAAGAATCTGTATGAGCTCAAACAGGATGGCTAAAAATGGGGCCCATTCCGCTGTTCTGCAGGGATTCTATCAACATCCTTA